AAAATCGGCCGATTTTATTTTTTAGCCGGAAATCATCGGTCGTTTCTTAGGCGCAGGGCCTCTTAAACACAGCGAGCTGATATTCGGGGCTTTCCCGGTCCAATCGAGAAATGACAAAATAATTATTGTACTTCTCTTTCCACAACTTCCAGTTCTCAGCGATTTCTCTGTAGTCTTCAAATCCAAATACTGAGGCGGTAAAATCTGGTGAGACATTGTCGATTGCGACGTTTGAGGCTGAGCAGTTGCACCGACGCTCGAACCAGAATTTTCTTCTTCCCCTGACATCGTAGACGGTTGTTACGTTGTCGACGATGCTCAGAGTTAACCACACGCTGCCACCATGTTTTAACAGATCTTTAACAGCACGAGAAGAACATTTGAAGAAGAAACGCTTTCATGCTAAAGAGATACTAACCGTCGCGTTACATGATACAACTGACTAAGGACGCATAAATTACGACATACTTATTCATGCATTAACCCTTTCCACCGTGCGCGCCTAGCTTCTTCAATTCGGGATATCAATTCGCATACTACAGACATTACCAATGTACTATTACTTCTTTATATGCAGTGGTACTATTAATGTCTCCTTGGGTTTTGCCAAAACCCTGCAGGAGCAAAAAGAAAAGTCAACGATCAGACCATCACTCGTCATAATCCATCCGGTGCAACTTTTAATATTAAAAGCAAATAAGCAAAACAATGTTACTTCGGAGAGATCATCAATGGCGGTCTGGTTGTTTAAACAAAATTGTCCGCCCAGTATTTTGAAAAATTCCTTTTTGTACTTCATGCGTAAAAGCGATCGGTTTCTATTACTAACTTGGTACCGATTTGTAATTAATAATTTGGTATTACAAAATAACCAACGATGACAATGACGATAATATAAAATGAGGGAACTCGCAACGAACTTAACAACGTCAATTACTGAGTTTAACATTTAAAATAGCTCTAGACTGGCTTAATCTGGTTTTGAACAAATAGGCTCATTGTCAACCCACTCCACTTACAATCATTTAGTTATCACTGCTTAACTATAATATAATCTGTACCTGCAGTTCCATATTGGATTCAGGCACCCCTCTGAGCTTGCTGACGACCTTTTTCGAAATTTTACGTACGCAGTCTTCCCTCAGGTAGGCATCAGTCTTGTTTACCTTGTCATCAGTTTCACAGTCTACTGGACCACTTTGCCATTGATGAATGCTTGAGAATAGCAGTCTGATTGCGAGGCAAATCAGATCAATGTCATCTCGAAAAGAAAGATTCTCCAGGCAAACCTCGGCCAACTTCAAACTTGCAGTAACAGTAAACTCTCCGGCCTTAGTTTGGGAACTATCAGAGAAAGACCATATAATTTTCTAAATTTTCATCGTTATGTGATGTTGCACAGTGATCCAGAAGGAAGCTTTAACACAAAGCGACAAAGCTTTTTTTTTAAACTCGCTCTCCGAGTCACCGACTACTAAAGTATGTTTCTCTCTGACGTCATGGAAATTGAAAAAAGTTTTACTTAAATTGGCATCGTTGTTTCTCCAAAGTATCGTTCTTACAAGGAACTCATTTGTGTAAACTTGCCTGTTTGTTTCCTTCCCGTTGTCCAACATGTTGATCATGTCTTCGAGACGCCGTTTGAAACTACTCTTCTGCGCACAAAAAGGAAAAAATGACAACATAAAATAAAACGTACTATTTAAAAAAAACAACTAGAACTAAATCACTACAGTTTTGCGCAAAAGTAATGCAAGCGATAATCGTCGAATATCACGATAATCGCGATACATCGGCGATATTTAAACTATATTTTGCTTGAAACGATATATTGCACGAGATATCGCAGAGCCACTGTCGTAGCTGTCGCGCTATATCGCTTTCACCTAATGTCGATGCAGCTTAACGATATAGTGCTTGTGACCAGCGAAATATCGTTACAGCTTGGCGATATATCGTTTTAGCGTAGCACTAGATGGCTCCTGATAATCGAGATATGGTTGTTGCGTGCGGTATATCGCTTTATACAATAAGGCAAATTATCCTCGCATTTCGATTGGTTCTCACCTATGATCTATTAGAGGACAGACGCATAGATGACGTCATTATAACAAACATTTTTTTTTAATGGCAGAAAGTTTTCAGAATTTAGGTAATATTTTACGTGACTGGGCAAAAGTAACGTACAAAAAGTCTTGTCGGGCCTGTGAAGCAGGAAAAACAAGAAAAAGTCGTTCCCTTTTTTAGAAAATGACTCAAAAAACACTCGAGATGTCTCAGTCGACAGTCTAGCGAGACTGGACCAAAGATAACATTGGTCTTGGAATTGTTTCACGGTAAGAGACCATTACTTTGTCTCGAATTTAACAACCCAATAAGCAAAATGTTTATGAGATTAATTTATTAAAATAAACATATAACTTTGCTTTCCGACGCGAATGTTCCAGTTCGTTTCAGGGCACAGCAGCAAGCAAAGTAAAGCTCACTACAGCTCACGACCAACTGTATCGCAGCTAGAAAGTGTCTCCGACACTATCTCCAATGCACTGGAGAATCACCAACAACAGAGGACACAAATTTCCACCGTCACTAACGCTTCTTTCATTCAAAATTCGCATCGAATGGCCTCCAACGTGTCGATGTTGACCGTAACCGCAAGTTTTCCGAGCGTGTTTTTCAACTCCTGCAATAAGCAAGGCAACGACCAGATTTTTGGGATCACAGGGGTGCTTTGATGACAAATATTAACTTGAATTTTCGGCATTTTCTATAAGATTTGTGGATTTCACAGTTCAATTCTGCTTTCGCTGTAAGTTTTCTGTTCAACGAGAAGTGACACTCCATTCATGTTTAACAGTGGCGTGATTTCCCCGAGCCAATCACAATTCTTTACTGCGCATACCAGCCCATGGGATTGCTTCATTCTGTATAGACAATAGATTATGTCAGATTTTTTTTTTTTTCATGTTTTTTAAAGTAATAGTAGTCTGTTCATTTTTTCAAAGTTGTAGTTAGTTTGTTATTTTTAATTATATACAACAAATAGATGCCATGTTGCCGTGCGTCTGTTCAGTAATAGATCACAGAAGACGTCAAAATGCGGTACGCGTCGTTGCAACACGTCCCTTCCTAGTGCGATATCTCGCCGAGATATCGGCGATGTATCACAAGAACAAAGCGCAATATTCGACGATTATAGCTTGCGTTGTATGCATCAAAAAGGTTACACATTTTTTTGTAATCAAAGCGTAGAAATAATCACTTATAATAACCTCTTCCTTGTCCCCAAAACCACGAGGAAAGAACTCTACCAAAGCAACGCATAGATCTGAGATGTGGAACATTCCTGTTGACGGTAACCGCCAAACAGGAAAAGCATATAGACACGTTCTTTTCAACAAGCGGTCAACATCAAAGGCTGACGCCAGACGAGACCAAACTTCCGAAAAATTCCTACAAGAGAAAAGCAACAGAAATGTCACTTGTATGACCTTCAGCGTAAATAAATGGTCTGTTTAATCCGTCGTTGGCTTATCACTCTGTACATCATACAGGCGACGTTCGCACTTTTGAAGAATTTTATCGTTTTGCTTGTCTTTATTTTTTTTCTCTGAGTCAAGTTCGCTGGATTGTTTGTTTTTTGTTTGCTTAGTTCTTTACTCCATTGGCCCGTTTAGCATTTGTTTGTTCGTACAGTTCTTTCACGCTTTTTTTCTTCCTTTTTTTTTTTTTTTTTTTGTTTAATTGGTTCGTCCAGGGTTGTTTTTTTGGTTGGTTAGATGGGAGACTTAGTTATTTGGTTCGTAAAGGACTAACAAACTGTGAAAACGGAGCAGTGAGAGTTTCTTTTTCTGAGTCAAGTACTAAGATAATTTTGTCGTGCCAGACAAAAGATGTTTCTTGCTTATTCTCGATGTCTGCTGCTATGTGATAAAATAATTGTTCATACTTTAGCTGTGAGACTGTCGATTTTTGGATGCACGCGGAAGTTGTAGAGCAATCGAAAAGCAAGAGTTTCTCTCGGCTATACCTCAAGCAACTCTTACACGTCTCTCGTACTCTTCAAACTCTCGCGTGTATACCCACAACTCGATAGACACAGGTTTAGCATGTAAAAGTTCGGGGTTTTTTTAAGGAACAACAATTATAAGGGATCGATTTTCATAAACATTTTAAAAGGAAAACGTTACATGACGAATAGAGCGAATAGAGTCCGTTTGAGTGTTTAGTTTTGGTCTTTTCTTTCTAATCATCGGCATTTCCAAAATTAACTCTAAAGCTTGTCTCGGCGTTTCTTTAAGGATTTTAAAACTCTCACGGATCTTACATTATGTTCGTCCTTGAAATGCTTTCCGATTGTGGAATATTTATGTTCTTCTACACATTGATGGAAGTGGCGACAGGTATAACCGATATAATTTGCACAGCATGAATCACATGTAAACTAACTTAAACTCGTATTCAACAGTCTGCTGGTTAACTAAGGAAGGTTCCGTTGAAGTCATCAGTGATCTTTCTGCTAGTTAGGACTGGCTTCAAATCATAATAATAGTAATGATAATAATGATAATAATAGTAATAATAATAATAATATTAATAATAATAATAATAATAATAATAACTAGTAGTAATCGTAGATTAAAGGGTGCGTTCGAGTTTTGGTAGGCTTGATATGTTAAAAAAGCAAAAATTCTAGGGACAGCATTTTATGCCTGAGCAGTTAGGTAGGCGTGAAATTGGTCTCCCTTCAGCAGGAGCAAAAACAAATGAATTGATCGCAAAGCACGTGAATACGAGAGGGTTTGTTCTCGTTTATCCATGTATTGTGTGATATTAGTTACGACCGGTCAGTAAAAGACATGGACTGCAGTCGGGAGGTAGCATTTCATCCGCAGTCCCCATTCAGTCAGCGTTTTATGCCCAGTCCGTGGGGGGTCCGCAATGTTTAGTCCGCGTTTTA